AAAGATGTGTCTGCGCCAAAAGGAGAATTTTTTAGCCGTAAGCAAACAAAGGTAGAAAGGAGCCATGCTTTGACACGTATGAACGAGCTCCCTTTGCAGACCTGTGGAAGTCTTAAGGGGATTTGCTTTTCAAAAGTACAAATCTCACCTGTTCTTTTCCCCTTAACTTTACACTTAGACACAGATGGCAGAATGCAACATCTCACCGCGCAGCAGTCCGCTCAAGCAGTTACGACCTGGGAGCTAGCAGTGCCAGTTTAAACAGCCCAAGGTTGTACACCTGCCATCCACATCCCATGGAAGAACATTCTTAAAGCAACTGCATTGTCTGGAAGCATTAAATGGAAAATAAAAGTTCTCCTCCACCACCCAGGAGACCCTAGATGCAATTCCTCAGATTCCTGATTCATTTAGCAATAGCAGTGCATGAAATTCAAATAGAGTCTTCTGAAGACTAGTGTTCTCTCTCTCTCTCCCCCCTTATCCCCCGTTCCCCCCGGCTTATGGCCTCAGGCACTAGGTTACCCAGCAGATTTTATGAAAGGTACGAAAAATAGCCAGGTAAATCCTGCTAGTGGACTGAAAAGACAGATTCATAAAATGTTAATTTCCAAAATCCGGAGCGATGCCAGGAATACGGGCAGTAACCTGGCCAACCATACTCACTGTATTTCATGGCAGAGTTTCATCTTGAATAAATATAGCCATCTAAAATGCTATTCCTAGATAAAATAAGGAGAAACCTGTAGTTTGTGCCGGCTAGGGTAAATAACAGGATTCATTCAAACAAAGGAAGCACTACAAAAAGGTTTTTCAAACACTAAAAAGGAAACACCTGTGAAACACAGGTCTATTTAAAGCTGAAGTGAAAATACATAGGGGGCCATTTTCAGCTGCACCACGATCTCACTATTGGTGAAATCAGTGCCCACAAAAGAGATGTCACCCTTCTACAACAAGCAACAGAGGGTCCTGTGGCACCTTTAAGAGTAACAGAAGTATTGGGAGCATAAGCATCTGAAGAAGTGAGGTTCTTAGCCACGAAAGCTTATGCTCCCAATACTTCTGTTAGTCTTAAAGGTGCCACAGGACCCTCTGTTGCTTTTTACAGATTCAGACTAACACAGCTACTCCTCTGATACCTTCTACAACAGTGCCCCTTTGTGTGGTAAATCTAGGATGTTAGGACTTTGTGGCTGACATTCAGCCAAGTGACGCAGACCCTAGGAACTGCACATGGGAATTGGAATAGAATTCAGGTACTCCTACACTTTCACTAAGGGAAAGGGACCTACCACTTTCACTAAGGGAAATCTCCCTAGGAGATCATGACTATATTATAACGCAGCTGAGCACTTCTGATTCAGTCCAATAATACTTAGTTCTTTTATAGTTCTCTTCAGCCATAGATCACAAAGCCCTTTACCGATTGGGGGGTGGGGGGCAGGAGGCACAGAGCAGTCATGTGATTCGCCCAGGTCACACAACAGACCAGTGGCAGAGCCAGGACTAAAATCACACACAGAAGGACATGATCCCTGGCCCAAAGAAGTTACAGTTTAATTTTATTCCATTCTATTGAGCCTCAGTCCAAAATATCATTCCGTGCCCCCCCCCATTAAAAAACTCTCCGCTTAATTGTGAATACTTAGTAACTTACTCATCCCTAATACTATCAACAGGGTAAGTTGGTCTTGCACCGATGTACCGCATATCTTTAGAGGTCTTGTATGTCCTTGCCACCAGCACGTTGTTTATCCAGCACTGCCGTCCCTCATTGACTGCTGAGAGGGATAAGATGATTATTCAACATCTTTCTCTGACCACCTGCTCTCTTGATCCTTGGCCTATGTGACTGCTAACGTGCTATGCAGATGCCGTGCTGTGCAGGCTAAATTCATTCAAGCATTGTTCATTTTTCACTTCTGCTTTAGAACAGTATCCTAAGATGAGTGGGAGAAGCCCCATCTGGATGAGACAGGGCAAAGCACTGGAGACCTAGGGCCTGATGTAGTACTGACCTTGCATAGTCACTTACACCTGTGCAAAGTGGTGTAACAATATCATTCCGATTTAGTAGCATCTTATACCCACTTTGCACATGTGGGATTGTACAAGGCAGTGTAGAATCAGGACAGCTTTCAAAGGAACAAACCTTCAGCAATGGGAAGATGGACTAGATCACCTCATATCCCTCTCTCACCCAACCCTGCGTCCATGATCCTTCAGGACCACAGAACATTAAAAGCAGCTATGCCCTGATAGAAAGACACCTCTAGCTCTTCCGAGCCCAACCCACTTCTAGGGGCAGCATATACGCTAGAGAGTGGGCCTGACTCTGAGCCCACTTGCACCCAGTTAACACCCATGTAGCTTGAATGGAGTTACTTCCATACTCCCACCAGCGAGAATCACTGTTTTCTTTGCTACTTTGTGCCTTGCATTCATCCCACTCCACCAGTATTTCTCTCCATACTGTATTCTGCAAATAAACTCCATACTGTTGACAGAGGGAGGTGCCATGTCATATATGTGACTGAGACCCTTTCAATTCCTAAACATCCTAAACAGCTTGATGTTATGCAGCTGTAACACCAACAGACCCAAGTCGGCGGTGGGCGGGATCGAACCTGGGAAGCTAAATGCATGAGCTAAACACCATGTGCCTCTTAGCCAAGGCTGTAGTAGACTCATCGGTCTCTAGATCGGTGGTTTTCAAACTGTTGTATTGGTGACCCCTTTCACAGAGCAAGCCTCTGAGTGTGACCCCCCTATTATAAATGGGGGTAATTTAATGGGGGCGCAGGGCTGTCAGCCCCATGGAGCTCACAGCTCGCGACCCCCATGTAATCACCTTGTGACCTCTGCTCTAGATAGTCTAGATACCACTAGAGGGGGACAGAGCGCCACACCAAGCAGGCATGGGTTACACATCTTGACACATACCCATGGCTAGTCCAGTGGGATAGATCTATTGGTCCTTAGTTGTCTGCTTCTTAATGATTCCAAAGTCTAAGGCATTGGTTTCACCGCCAAATGAGGTTGTGCTGAGAACTACAACATTAATGACCTCTGGATAAGTTCCTTTGTAGCCCATATCTTTACTGGGCTTACTGCAGTCATACATGCTAGTCAGCTTCTGTGCTTCCCAGTGTGTCCTGCACTTCTCAGTGTGCTATTGATAAATGGAGAAGCCATTTAAGGTAGCAGCACACGTGTGTTCCAGGTGGCTTAGGAGCAGGGGGCTTATCATCTGACATAAAGAGTTCATTACTGCCAGCTCAAGAAGCCAGCTAATTAGACACCTGTGCTCTCTAGGATGCTGTTTCAAGCTTTAGTTTTAAATGCCTTTATTTATATTGGTATTCATTACCCCCAGTCTGCTTTGACTACCATAGCAAGTTAGATGACACAGTGCATTATTCTGGAACATAACGTTTGTCTTGTCTCACTCAACCAGTACACAAATAGCTATGAAAAAAAGGAGTCGCTGATCTAGTTCATACTTGATTCCTGTCCCAGCTCTTTCAGCACGGTCGGCTGTATTACTGCTTGAGTGGAGGAGAAAGCAGACGTTGCTATAAAGTTAGGCTGAATTTGGCAGTGCTTTGGTAACCCACTGGTGAGTGCGTGTGTGTTACAGGGTCCCTTCTGCACATCCACATAGATATGACTTGTTACCACAGCTAGTCCCAGAGCCTTGGCCTTTTAGATCAAGCTGTAGCAGCTCCTGCTTCCAGGGCTGGAGGTTTCTCAGTCAACCCCTGGTGTCTCAACCCAGAGGGTGGCCATCACACCTTCCTCGCAGTCTCTTCAAGCATTTTACACAGACTATGAATTTAGCCTCAGCAGCCCTGAAGGTTAGTTACCACAGACAGCAAAACTGAGACACAGAGAGGCGACGTGAGGTCAGACAGGAAGTCTGATGATTCAAGAATAGAAGCCTATGCTCCTAACCGGAGTGCTTCTGCCACAAGTCTATCCTCCCACAGATGGGGCCCGACCTGAGTGTCTGTCACCAGTGCTGAGTACTCTCAGCATTTATGGCCCTCAGAATGAATTGAAGGGACTCCGAGTAACCCAGGCATGCTTGGTGTGGTGCCAGGGCCGGCTCCAGGCACCAGCCGAGCAAGCTCGTGCTTGGGGGCAGCAGATTCGAAGGGGCGGCTTCCCTCCAAACCTTTTTTTTTTGGTGTGCTTTGCCTCTTCGGCTGTGCCGCAGGCTTTTTCTCTTTTTGGTTCGCCGCTCCAGCTGCCCTGTAGGAGGCGGCGGCGCGGAGGAGGGGAGCGCCCTGCTGGGAGCGGGCTGCGCACTCCGTCTGCCCCAGCCGGTGCCAGGTCTGCAGCAAGCCCGGCAGGGCAGCCCGCGGCCTTCCCTGCCTGCCGACCGGAGCGGCGCGGAGCCCTCCCGGCAGGTGGGAGGGGCCGTGTTGCGAGCGCCCCACTGAAGGAAGCCCTGGCTGCCCCCCTTCTCTCTCTCCCCACCCACTCCCTCCCCCTCCCGCCCGCTAGCCGGGGCGTGCACTCTGCTGCACGGGGCATGTCTGCAGTGCACCCTGGCTGTCCCCCTGCACCCTGGCTCCGGCCGCCCCGCACGTTTTTTGCTTCACTGCTCCAGCCACCCCACAGGGTTTCTTTGTTTGTTTGTTTGCTTGGGGTGGCAAAAAAAACCCAGAGCCGGCCCTGTGTGGTGCTGTGGCACCTAGCTCAGCTAGAGATTGATGAGTCTGCTACAGCCTTAGCTAAGAGTCATGTGGCTTTTAGCTCATGCAATAGAGAGAGGCTCATGCATTTAGCTCCACAGGTTCGATTCTGCCAGTGTTACATCAGCACCTTGCAGATTTGGGTCCCGCAATGGCAGGTGAAAGGCAGACCAGTCCACAGAGAGAATAAGGGGAGGACTAACAATGCAAATAAGGGTGCAGAGTGGAAAGGGCAGAGGGAAAAAGTGGTCTGAAGGGGTTGGGGTGAAGAGAAACAGTAGAGTGGAGACAGATGTTGGATAGTAGCAAAAGAAACTGAGAAAGAAATAGGAGCTAGAAAGAAAAGAGAGAAGACCAGCTTCCCCCCCACCCCTTTACTAGGAATCAGACCTGTATATGCTATCACACACATTCAATACTTCACAAGATAGAGCCGGGCATTGCTGTATGGAGGTTTCAGAATGATCACTTCCATTTAGGCCAAGATAGCCGGTATATCAAAGAATGCAGGGCTAGGTTGGCCCGTGCAGAGTTTATGCACCCCGGAGTCCTAAATCATCAGTTACAAGGTGAATGTTTCCTCATTTAGATTTTGCTTCTTGTGGCAAAGCATAAAGATGCTTTATTTGCAGGGATGTTGCCCTGTCTATTCCCATGGCTGCACAACTCAAGCAACCCGTGCTGTCCCAAATGAACCCATGACTGAACCACAAATTAGATCAATTTATTTGCATAGCTGAGAAAGAGGATTTAAATTAACAAAGGAACCTATGCTTTTGTAATCTGGTCCTTCATGCAGCTTAAATAGAAACCACACACCAGCCTTGCCCTCCCAAGTTCATTACAGAGGATTAATGTCTTCCACTTCTGCGAGAGTGTCTTATTAAGAGGGTTGGTTTGTATTTGAACTCCCCCTTCCACATACGCAAGTAAGAAGAGAAAGCTTTTCCAAGGGCCTGTTTATGTTAATATTTACTCCACC